ATAAAAGCTTAAAATATAGTATCAACAAAATAACTATTTGAGGAAATATAGATTAATATTGGAATTTATTATATCAAATCGATTGTTTGAGTAGTACAGAACATATTTTATCAAAAAATATATCAATCGCAACAGAATGAACAGAGATAAACGCATATGTTTACCAGTAATAGTGATTCGGTTATTCAACTCAGAACCCTTAAAATCTGTTAAGGCGACAATATTTTTCCCAAATAATATTTCTGGAATTGAATAATGTCCATTTAATCTAAAATTTTACCGTTTGATTAATATTTAAGATCTTGTGTTGAGCATCAAAAATTTTGCCGTCTGCTAGAAACGTTTACTGGCCAACATAGGCGTTTATCTCTGTTCATTCTGTTGTCGATTCGATTTTTTCTTAACCCTGCTACTATGTTAGAAAAAACACATATGTTATGTTTTTTGACACCCCCTTTTGGAACATTTTATATATTCCACTCTGCAAAAAATACGGTGATGATAAAACACTATGGGTTATCAAATGATCCTTAACGTAGTAGAAGGATTAAAAGGAAGTCTCAAATTAATTACAACTGGAAATACATAATTACGATAGCTGTATAATAAACCAATAAATGGAATATATTATGAGTTATATTCCGATATAGGTCTTTTATTAAAAAAGCATCGTTCTTTACAACAAATTGACCCCTACAAAATATAGGTCTCATTATTAGTAAAGGCTTCATTTATTTTTTGTCATTATTTGTATTTCATTTCAATAGAAAAATCATTTTGTGGACCTCTTGATCCGTACATGCATGTATTGCGTATATTTAAAATACAATATTAAATGCACATCCCAATTTTTAATTTTAGAGCACATATTGCAATTTTTAGAAACAACGAAGAAAACACCTCCAAGTTAAAAAAATACGTTTTATTAAAATCCTATTTTTAATCCTTCTGCTCTGGGTTAGGGCACATCTCGTATTTTACTCTTACACTCTTTTTTGTGTTTGAAACTATTTTTAACTGTGTTTAGTTTTTAAAGATTAGCCATTTCAAAAATGTCTATCAAAATCGAAATCGTTTACAAAGACACCCCAGAAAATGTATTTTCCTTTCCAAAATCCCCAATTTTGTCGTCGAATTCGATAGTAAACACATTGAAACTAAGGTATAAAAACAAATATATACAAATATTGGAAGGTGAAGGCGCGAAACCTAATTTCGCAAATTTCTGAAAAGGAAATAGATATAGAATATATAAAATATAATTCAGTGATTGTTCTTTAAGTTCTTTTTGATAGCGCAAATAAATGTTTTAAAAAGCTACCCTGGATTTCTCCAAACATCAAAAATACCAAAAACTGGTAATTTAAGCATGCATATTGAATAAGGTTTCATATCTCATTTTCACCGAAAGATTCCTCTTTCAGCCCATATATAATTTTGTAAACGTCCTTTTTTTGAAATTACACTTATCCTTCTGTCTATAGAAATCTTAATAACGATCGAGAAATTTGGGGGATTTTGGGGATATTTTTTCAATCCAATTAGTCATCTTAGATCTCATCCTCTTCCAATCACAAATAATCATTATTGGTCCACTTTTTAGTTTTTTTCGATTTTGGGCAGGTTTTTCAACCAAAATGGTTGTAATTTTATATTAGGTTGGGGGAAGAGAAATACATTATTTTTATATGAACTCTATGACAGTATTTAACACGCTTCGGAACGTCCGATTTGGGCCAAATATGCACCTGATCTATATTTGCAAAAATCTCTAGTAGTCGATATTCACAATCCTCCCTAGATACCAATTTTTTATCATTAAAGAGATTTTTGCAAAGCAAGAAAAAAATGATAATCGTTTGGTGCCAAGTCCGGTCTGTATGGTGGATTCATTAAAACTTCCCAACCAAGCTACCGAAGTTTCTGGTGAGTCACTGTAGATGTGTGTGGCCTAATTTCGGAATTTTGGAAAGTTTAGGCACATTTTTTCCATTTTAAGTGGAAATTTTGGGATTTCTGGCAACGGTCAAAAATTTCTCCTACCAAAAAGTGCATCTTTAACATCAAAAGTTCCCAAACTTGAAATTTTGTGTTTGAATCTTCATTACTTGGAATAAATCAAATAAAAAGAATCCATTTTTATACAATTTTTTAACACGAAAGTTTTTCTCCTGCATGTCTACCAGGCACGAGAACTATGAGTTAAAGTTCTTCGTTTACCGAATCCGAAATTCGGCAGGAAATTTTTATATTTTACAGGCGGTTGTCGTCCTTTTTCTTTGGCACGATGAACATTTTGAGTTTACTGCATAATATGATACTTTAAATAAAAAATTGTCAAGCCCGTTTTAGAAAACCCCTTTATTTCATCCATCAAAAGTTAATGCACTATCTTATTTACAATTAATTATACTGCAACTTAAATTTTTCTATGTAATTTGTTATCGTTGTATTAGTTATAATTAAAAGGGATTAAATTAAAGATTTGAGTTTTAGTATAATCTGTGTAATTTGCAGTTCTGGATTTGTTTTTTTTGTCAGCTTTTTCGTGAAAAAAAAATTAAACGTTCGAATATTACAAAAACAAAAAAAGTATATATAAAATTACGTTTAAATACAAATTTTCCGTTTTTTTAGAATAATAAATTAATACACAAATTTTTAGAGTATTTTATGAATTTTATATAATTAACACAACTTGAAAATATAATAAAAGTTTCTAGGATTTTTCCTTATTGTTAAATCTTAAATATTCATCTAATTTTAAGTAATATATTATCAGGGTGATTCGATATTAAAAATGAACACATTGATCCGTTCTACCGATACGTCTTTGCATTTTAATATTAAACAAATCAATATATAATTGTTGTCCCTTTTAAATCTTATATGCCGATTTAAGTGACTACATTTCCAAAATATATGTATTGAATAACAATAATATCAAAATCAAATTTTTCGGATTGAAATTATTTGGTGCTCCGCTTTTGTTCAGGGGAAATCGTTACATAGTAAATAAAAAATAACAAACATTAACTCTTACATTTCAACTTAACAAAAATGTTTTCAATATTATTTTTATTTTGAATTTATTTTTATTTATTATTTACTATAATTGTATTCCTTAATATTACAGAATATTTTATTAGCAAAAAAATAACGAAAAAAAAATCAAAACCAAAAACTACCACAATCCATTCTACATTTTTTGATAAAACAAATTAAACAAAGCTAAAATAATCAAAACCAAACAAATTGTGTTTATTTCAACTATTTCATTGGTCTGTGATAAGTGAATGTCAAGCTAATCAAATTTGTTAAACTACAAAAACAAAAAAAATCACGATAAACTTCGTTAATTAAACTCTAAAAAAATCTGCTGAAAAAAAACAACAAAAAACCCCCAAAAACTAAAAGTGCGGTTTCAGTTAAATTTAAAAAAAAACACAATATTTTCAAAAATTGTTTCAACTAACAAAAAAGTGAAAATTCCAAATAAAAACCAACAAAAAATTGTTGCCAAAAATAATTAACCAGCAAATAATCAGCCAAAGTGAAGTAGTTGCTGCAAAACTAAAGGCAAATTGAGATCGAAAACAAACAACAATCAACACACATTTTTACCAAATATTTAAATAAATACAAAACACCAAAAACCGCATTGAAAAAAACACACACACCCATTTAGACATATTTGTATATGTTGATAAACCCCGAACTTTGAACAAGAGCTAGAACAACAACGGCATATATATTTTAATTAACTGCCCAAGTAAAAGTTCAAATTATCCCAAAAACAAACCAAAATAATTCGGGGGCAAAAGTTTATTTAAACTTTAATTTTTACAAAAACACAAACCTACTACAACAACAACTACAACGATAATTTCGTGTATTCGCATACGTCCATCCTGTCCAGCAGCCGTAACATTTCGGATTGGATATACACACACAAAAATAATTTTATTGCCATCGACGCGAACACTTACCACTTTGTAAAACCGCAACATCCAGCGTGTACAGCCAGGACACGTGTAACATCAACACAACACAAACACCCGCACGCCCCTGTCGCTTCTGCCATAGTCGTCAACAATAAAACATACATGTTGATCGCCTAGACTAGACCAGGCCAGACCAGACCAAAAACCCAAACCAAGCCATTTCACATTTACCAAAAGCATAACATAGCGGCGGTATACTAGTCAGCATTCGGCCTTAGCCACCAAAAATACAGGCAGTAGCAACAACAATTCAGTCAGTCAGACAACAAACCCATTATACTCGGGCAGTTTTAACCGGCAAGAGGATATACATTTAATCCGTGTGGAAATATCTAGTACATGACATACCTGGAACACATTAACATACGTGAACATTAAAGTACTCACTTTGATTGTATGCAACAGCAGCAACAACAATAAGCCCAAGCACAAAAACATTTAGACAGTACACACACGAATACGAACTTCTCGTAAACGACAAAGAGAACAAAGAGTTGTTGTATTCAGTACTGTAACCTAACCGCAAAACATCAAAAGCATTACAAACTAAAAGGTAAAAGCAACAAAAACGATAACAACAACAACAGCGGTGGTAGCAACAGAAACAAGGCATTGTAGCATAACATCCTACCCATCATCATCACAAGAGCAGCAGCAGCCGGATTTCATTCATCTCTGTGAAACAAAGCTTATACATCCGCCATTCAAGTGAATCTATTGAGGTAAACATACCAGAACCCACACACACACACATAGAACACTCATAGAGTTTTTGTGAGTGAGAGGCCAATATACAACAACTACACTAACTGATACAGCTGGTCGCACTTCGTAATAGTGTGAATAATCATCAACAATAAACGAATCATTCACGACACCCGAGAGCAGAGAGTGCAAGAGTAAGAGCACGAGTATCAAAACATCGAAGCGAAGCCCCCATAACACAAAGTAAGAACGAAACGAGTACCCACAATCCCTTTTCATAACCACCCAAGTAAACGAGCTCAAACGCAAAAAGCAAAAATGTTGGCAATGCCCACACTGATGATGCCAGCCACAGCACAAATGACGCTCAGCAGTCAGCCACTATCAGTTGGTGCTCCACATGCTAAACCATATGAAACTAAATTATTGGCCATACATCAGACGCATATAACGGCCCAACAGCAACAGCAGCAGCAACAACAGCAATCACACCAACAGGCGAGCAATACCAAGCAACCACAGCAGCAACAACAAATGTCGGCCAATAGTCAACAACAGCAGCAACAACAAGCCGCCGCTGCTGTCGCCCAACAACAGGCCGTACAACAACAACAGCAGGCTGCTGCCCAACAACATCAACAGCAGCAACAACAGGCTGCCGCCGCCGCAGCCGCTGCTGCATGCATTGCCCAACAGCAGGCTGTTGCTGTGGCCGCTGCCGCCGCACAACAGCAACAATATCAAATACATTCGCAACAACAATCACCACAGCAGGCATTGAGTGCTTCACCCAAACAAGGTAAGTTCGTGCAAAGACGGTAGAGAGAGAGAGCGAAAGTGTTTCGTATGTTTTCGTATTGTGGGAGAGTAAAAAATGAGGGAATTATGGGAGAGTTATTGTGAAGTGATCATTTGTTGGTTGATGTGATGTGTGCTCTACAGAGCCTAAAATTAATGATTTGTTAGAGACAATTGTGCGAGAGTGAGAATAACGAATTGTGAGATTTATTCATTGTTATTGCTGTTTATAATTGGCAAGAGACTACTGTGGAGCGTACGGTTATTGTTTAATAGGAGTTGATTGTGTGAGTGTGAGAAGAGGAAATTATTATTTGAGCTATTCAAGTGATTATTGTTGTTGTTATTAATTGATGTTAGAGTTCTTTAGAGCGTATGAATATTTGTCAAATAAAATTAGTGGTGCGTATACGCCACGGTTGTAAAGCTCATTTGATTTATGTGTTATGTTAACTCAGTAATGTTTCAAATGAGAGACACCAGAATTAATAAATATTTGTTTCATAGTAAATAAAACAAATAATTGATATACATAAATAAAATAATCGGAATTATTAGAATTGCTAGTTAATAACAAAATATTGAAAAAGATAAATAAAAATGTATTAAAGGTATCTGAATAGAAATTATGATGAAACATAAATTATTGAGTCCTTTGAAAAAAATATATATTTTTACCATCCAGTCTTCTTAGAGACAAATAATACCTAAGGGAAAAATTTGCTATCTTGGCACAAAAAGACTGTCAGAGTTATTATGAAGTGATCATTTGTAACAACAATGCCTAAACTTAGTGAGAATAAAGCATTTGGTTAAAAGGAATCTGTAAAGAAATTATGGTGAAACACAGAATATTTGAAACAAAATTTGAAAAAAAAACACCAAGGAGTTTTGAGACAAGTATTAATGAGGACAACAATTTACTATCTCGGCACAAAAAATACTGTCAGGTGCGCCAAAGGAAATATTAACCCTGTAAAATATCAATGAATAGACAGTGAAAAGTAGCAAATTGATTAAAAATTATTAGCTCCAGATTTTTTTAAGAATTGAGTTAAAAAATTTTGCTTGTTACTGTTCTAAATAATTATATGACTTTGTAGGGCTCTAAAAATCATTTTATATTCTTTACATATTGCTGGTAGGTATTGAAGCGATTTTTTAAAATTTTCAGAGGAATAGTTTTAGTGGACACATAATATTGTAATTTATATAGACATAAGTACATTAACTTGCATACATGTCAATATTAGCTGAGTAGTACTAGGAAAAGAAGACTTTCATCCATCTTTTACAAAATTACAATAAATATTTAAGATGTATGCAAAAGTATAACTGATAAATACGTAGCTTTTGACATGCTATGACAATTCCGTTCAGCTTCTGGTCATAATCAAGGTATATTATTTTGGCAAAAGAATGTAAATCACATCAAGTATTCACTTGTGAATAAATTAAATATAACTCAGGTATGTGGTGCAAGAACAAGCCTTGTTCAAATTGATACACATCGATCACAATTTCAATATAGGTTCCATATAAATATTTTCATGCGATTGTATGTGAGAATAAAGTTTGGCAACTGTCAAACATTTTATAGGCAATTTATTAGGGCCAAAAAATAACACCAATTGAAATCATGAAAATTGGTTCAGATTTGGGTATAGTATTCAAAAATAGTTCCCTCAGGTCTCATGTTCATTATTATCATTATCATTGACATCAAAGTTCGCAAAGGTTACCGAAGTAAAATTAGACCGAAGTTTCCGAAATTCTTTTAAAATGGTTCAAATTTTTATATAGTTTCCGTATATAATTTTTCCGATTTTATGGAGCGTGTCGGTCCGATCAACAGCAATTTTTTATAGATATCGAATTGAGTCGAGAATGGCTTGGGTTTGGTTGAAAACATTTTATAATTATATTTCAAATGCACACAATATACTATTTATTTCGGCTCATTATAAAATCTAGTAATTATTACCGAATTTAGTACAGAATGATACTCATATTGGAGATAAATATCTATCTCCAATGTAGCATGAATTATATATCATAATTTTACGGAAGTCAGATCTGCAGTTTTTTACATAGGCCATAGAAGAGAGTCTAAATTGTCGTGTGTTAATTTGATTTTTAAATAAATCTCATGTAAATGGTTGTCTAAAAGTGCTACCTCTAGCCGATTAACTCGAAATTTAGCTGTGGCTATCGAATTGGGTTAAAAAATTATTTTTTTTATAATTCGGATGATGCGACCTTTTTATACCCTTATTTTTTATTATCCTAAAATATTGCTAAGAGTTGGCCACTGATAGGCCAATTATGATCCAATTATGTCGAAAATGAATAAAGTGCTAGGTCTGTCAGATCATCCGTCTATAAATGCGAATCATAGAATGACGTGTGCAAATTTTATTGGTTAGTTGTCTTAATTTTATATGAAGCTTCCTATCTAATTTCATTAAATGGTGCTCAAAAGTACCCAATTTTTCTGAGGCTTTCGAATCATTTTTTGAAATAAATAAAAACGTCGTAACATCGACTATGGTGAACTTTTATACCCTCCATCATGATGAACACCTCATGTAATGTTCAAACTCGGGTTGAGCCCATATATATGAGTCCAACTTATAAATTGTCTGCGAGAAGGTTTTCTATTTTCTATGAAAACGAAAGACCACAGAAAAGACCCTTATCTAATACCAACATAATAACAAAAATTTCTCTGCCCGTGTTTGTTATGATCTCTAATACAAGTTCTATATTATCCAATTTTGCCTAATTTTTCCACTTCAGTCATATAGTTATAGATGTGATTATAGAATTTTAAAATTATTTTAGGTTTTTTTAATGCGAACAATGGCACAGAAACTCAAACTTTAATATTTTCATTCACAACCAAAGCCATTCATTAATTTTTTCATTCATTCAATAGAATTCTAAGAAAATCAAATGCTTTAATATATTTCGCAACACAAAGAAAAATAAAAGAACGAAAAATAAAACACCGGCAAACAATCATCACGTGTTGGTAACCTTATCGAATGTTAATAATTCTCTCTGTTAATGCTCTTTGCGTTTCAGAGAAATTCCCGTGAACGCAATACGTATTCAGGACATGTATGGATTCTTTAATTTTAAATAGCACCGTCTGCAGCACAGACTTGAGGCCAAAAACAAAATAAAAGATAAATTTAAAATATTCATAGACTCCTAGAAGCAGGTCTTTATTTTTGTTCGTTTGATAACAAAGATAACATAGAAATGCCACAAGCAGACATTTAAAGGAATCTACACAAATCCAAATAAAATACTATGAAATACATAGATTTTGTAAATACATGACGGATTTTTTTTTCTCAAAATACAAAAAATGAAAAAAAGACGAACAATTTGTAGGAAAATGAAAACATTTCGTAACAAAATCAGTCATTGTCCTTAAGGACATTTGTTTTATGCTTTGGATTCGCTTTTTTTGTTTGTTTGACAATTTTGTATTTTGTTTTGCTTTCGTTACGTCTTGAAATGTTAATCGGGAGCGGTGTATAGGTACTCCTACACAGCCACACAAACGTATAACGAAGTAAACCTTTTTTTTGTACGACATGCCACATTTCCAAAAAAAAAAAAAAAATAAATAAAAATGAAAAAAAAACCGACAACGACAAACGAAGACGACGACGACAGAAAAGGAACAAAATCATCATAAGGATGAAAGCAAGATTCTTTGTTTGCTTTGCTAAAGAACAAAAATAATATAGAAATCAAAAGAAGAACAAAAAAATAAGAATAATAATGTCAGACTGCAAGGACACAGGCGGTGGACGAGCAAGCAAAAAAAAGCTTTAAGGAAATTTCATTGGAAGTTGAGCAGCACAAAAATACATACCGAAATATATGTATATATATATATATATATCCAGTTCTTAATTTGCATAATCAACAACATTGTAAAACATGGTCACATGCTTACGTCTTTTTTTCGGATTTTTTTCCTTTCACGGTTTTTTTTTCGAAAATTTAAATGATAATTTAAGAAAAAACATCATGGAATGATGGACAAAAAAACCCCAACAATTTGCTAAACGTTTTCAATACAATTAGCAATGTTGCCGACAACAAATGATTGTTGAGGGGGCGGGCGGTTGGGTTGGTTGACTCATTTGATTTAGTGATATTTTGAAGAGGATACGCCAAATCAACAAATTAATCATTTAAACAAAAGGAATGCCTAACAATGACAGCAGAAGCCATGCGACATTTGTCTTTTTTGCGCTTTAACCACCCCAATGCCGATACCACCACCCCTGATTAACAATATAAAGCGTTTTATTGGTTAACAAACGCACACACATCCACACAAATTAGTTATTTATCACATTATTATTAAAAGCTTAACGAATTGGTAATAACAATTGTCATCACAGGTTGAAGGCATTTTGTGATGTTGTTGTTGTTGCTTTTTGTTTTTGGATTGAAGAGGTAGGCATTGTTTGGAATTAAAGAGCAGATAATTAATTTGTTTTTTGTTAAATTTTGGATGACAGGTAATTACATAGATTTTGATCTTATTATATTTTGGTTGTTAATAATAGACGAAAAATCGTGAATTTGAAAATATTTTCTTTAAAACGACAATATGGTGTTTATTCACAATATTTTCTCAGCATGATTTTTATATGCAGAGTTCTACGGAATCACGGAGCCCCGCTGGGATTGGAACCCTGGTTCCTATGTTACCTCTTAATTTTTTTCCCGGCGCCTTAGTTGTACACCATGCAAGAAAATTTTACAGGTAGTATGAAAAAAAATTGTCACTCTTAGAAAAATCTACTCCGGAAAGGTATGTTCTGGTGTGATGACAAATGCCTACACCTTGATACGGTTGAATTTAATTCTTGGTTGAAATTTCGCAATAAATTCGATATTATTAAGTAACATATTAAGTAACGGCCTTTGTAAGCCACGTTACCGAATATATGTCAAGATCCGACTAAC